AAAGAGCCGGCTCGAGGAGCCGGCTCGTTCGCGAACGACACATCACTAATTTGCTGAGTGGATTGAAGTTGCTCGACAACACCTGCGGAACTTTCCGTCAGCCTTGCACACGCACACACGCACACACGCACACACACACACACACAGACACACACATTTCTTAAGTCTATTTGCCCCCCCCCCCCCACAAAAAAACACCCCACGAACCCCCTCCTACTTGCTAAATAAGATTGTCAAACTGGCAGCCATGTATGATGTGGAGGATATTCTGCCATTAACTACCAGTGAGACTGACTCATTCAAAGCCCTTGGCCAAAAGAGCAGTCGGAGAAGGGATGCGCATGCCATGTTAGCAGACATTCTCAAAATATATCAATGCTTAAATGTCAAGTGTGAAATAATTTTAGAACATCGCAAACGATATATTTTTATGTCACAAGTTGAAAAAAAGAATACTTTCAATAAAGCATGAAAAATGTATTTGTATTTCGTAAATCCGACAAAGTAATCGTTTTCCCGACGTGAGACCCTGGCTAGCGACAAACCCAGCCGGAAGTGTGACGTCACAACAGCGGGGCTCACGATGGAAAGTGTACAAAGCCAGTCGGAAAGTGACGTTTCCACTTTATTTTAGGAGATCCAGGTGTTTGAAAAGTTGGAGGAAGAGAAGGTTATTGGCAAGATGTATGTTGGACCTTCTATGTACGAGCCAGATGCTCAGGATGCAGAAAATGTTGTGCCCGAATGGCACATGGAGCGGAGACGACATCTGTCGGGATTGGAAGAACGCTAAACTATATAGGCAGTTCGATGCTGTAAAGTGCGCATGATGGGATTACCTATTTGGTCCACGTATTCCCGCTAGCACTGAGCACACGTCATAGTGGGATGGTGTCCTACATTGTCGTTGCTAAGGTAGTTCTTCGGCCACTCCGCACATTATATCGGCAACATTGTTAGCTGCAAACCATTACAGAGGACTCTGTCCATGCACTCAAATAGTTTGAATAGTTTTTGTACGGGATTACATCCATGTACACGTACAATACTTCGGATCGGATGTTTTCATAAACAGCCAGAGTTATTCATTGATTAGCACACCGACCTTTTTTTGCAAATCCGGTTGAGAAAACAGAGGTCTTCTCAGTGCTTATAAAAAAGAATGCTCCTCGATACTGGCGGGAAGTTTGGTCGCTTTGCGAGAACGAAACTGTATTGTTCCAATTTTCTGGTCCATTTAACGTACCTTATTCTTTTCTTTTGGCCACTCAAACAACTGTTGGCCTGAATGTGAACAGTGCATCGCCACACAGTGCTGAGGCATTCCACCAAACGAACTCGATAACATTGGCAAAGAGCAGTTAACGGGACAATCAACAATACAGGAAATGGCTGACTGGCGACTCGGCATTCTGTAAAAACAAAAGCATTTTCGTTGTCAAGTGCGCTGCAATGGGTTCAACTGTGAACCTGGGTGGGTTGCGTTAGAAAAAACAACGAAAGTGTGCATGACATTGTTTTACTTTAAGTATTATTCAAAAGATAGGTGGCCAAGTTGACTTCACACCTCACCTTTAATTAGCTACAGTAAACTTTCTAAAAAGTTAGAGTCATGAGAAGCCGGACAAACAGACACAGAAACACTTTTTATCCCTGGGCAGTCAGGCTGCTGAATCTCAATTCCTCAAATCGTGTGCATGTGAATGTGTAGGCCTGGGGGTGTGCAATTTTACTTAATACCTCATGATATCTCTGACTGTATTTCAATTAGTCCGAAATAGTCCACATACTGTCATGTTAATCCCTGATTCATATCATTTTGTAAGACAACTTGGACTGTACCTTAACTAGTGCCGAATATCGAACATATTCTTATCACAATTTAAAACAAAAAAAAAATCCATTCCATAACTCAGACTATCAATTTTTAACGTGTGCGTGTGATTGTGTGTGGGTCTAGGGGAGTGCAATGTATTTATAATTTTTTTTTTATATTTTTATACTTCGCGACGCACTTGGGGGTGGAGGCTCCTGCAGAATTTCGTTGTAACAAGTGTGCAATGACAATAAAGTATTCATTCATTCATTCATAAAACAGCTATTGTTCATTTTAATGATCCACTTTATAAACTGTGATCATATCCTCAATGATACAGGACATGAGATTGGTGGCTAAACTCACTTCATAGGTTATGTTTGTGTACACTCTATCCACTGGATATTTCTTGTATTGTGTCCATTTCATTATGACAGGGGTCACACCAACAAGAACCCAATTTTACACAGACTTTAATGCCCTTACTGTTGAAACTAGCACTGAAGAAACACTTGAATGGGGACCAACAGAATGTCGACTGGTTGTGGTCCAATCAGTCCAAAATAGATTTCAATTCAACAAAGTACCAGTCTACCCTGTCCTACTCTATGAAATTGAACCCACAAAAATAAAGAAAGAAATACCCCCCGCCCCACACACACAAAATAATTCTTTCACATACATGAATGTTTTTAAAATAAAGTAATAATTACTTTCCCTGGTATTTACATTTGTGAAGAATCATTCAGTTGTTAACTCAATTAGTTTTGGGGGAAGTAATTAGTAACTACAACAAAATACTTATTTTAAGCAATTTGCCCAACACCGTCCAACAGAAACATCATGCTTCAAAAATTACGTCCTGGATTTCACAGCATCTCCACCAAAGCTTTGACACAATTTGTCCCATCACTAGCAGTCAATCATGGGTCCAATTGTGACCACTCCCCCACACCGTTACCTGCGCATGGTGTTCTCAGCTCGGTTGTGCCAGGCTTCAGACTGGAGGAAGTGACAAATGGCGTGGGCATGTGTGAAGAACTCGGTGTAAGTATTGAAGGCCACAGTGTCCATTGATGCTGTGCACCTGCTGACCCCTGAGCCCTCAGGGCATGCTGGGAAATTCCTGCCTGAGCAGCGTCTCTGTTGTAAGGGTGTGGACAAGAATCGATATTAATCGATGCGCACGTGCGTGATGCGAGTGCATCGGCTCATTCACTGGGTATAGCGCAATTGACGGGTGAAATCTAGATTGATCACGATGCGTTCGTTGGTGGGTATCGGTAAAATCCGATGCAAGCGCCGTTTTATTCATGTTAAACGTCACCTATATGCTGTTTCCTAGGCGTAATGAATGCACCATCATTATTTTGCGTTTTGTGTTGAGTACGGACGGAAGCCGTGAGTCACATACAGTACAGTACACTACTAGCAAAACACTATGGAAGTTCGCACAAGCAGCAGCGAGGAAACTACTATATTTAATGCACCCGCAACATTCAGATCTTATGTTTGGAAATTCAACGGCTTCGAAAAGAAAGACGGAAAGCTTGATAAAACCTCCGTAATTTGCAAAGAATGTCGCGCTAAGAGGCCATACAACGGCAGTTACAACTACATCCAAGACTTCGACAATGCCTCAGCCCTTGATCCCCGCTTCAAGGACCTGCACTTCATGGATGCTGACAACACTGCAAAGGATGTGATATTCCTGTAGATAGCACAACAAGTGGAGGATATGGTAAGAAATACAATATTATCAGCAGTTAGTTTTACTCTGAGTATTTTCCATCTCACTTAAGGGTTTTCTTTTTTAGTTCTAATGATATTATATGTATTTACTTATTTTTTTCACATGGAAAATAAATCAACACTTATGCTAGTTTTCAACACTTGTCCAGGTTGGCTTTTCTAGATGATGATGATGATAATTTCAGGCAAGGGCTGATGGTATGCTGGATGATGAGAGCCAGGCAGCTAAGGCAGAAGGTGATGGGAGAGTGTCAGAGATGTTCACTCGGACGGTCGACAAAGGCTCGAACACAGGAACAGATCGTCTTTCTCTGCCGGCAGGAGGTGCAGTTTTCTACGAAGCCACTCCGTGTGCGCTTCTCACTGACACCTGACCTCTGCCACCTCTGCCGGCCCTTTTATTGATTGGATATGCAAATTACAAGTAATATATCAGAAAAACACTCCCATCTTCATTAACATGCCGCACACCTGGGCGGCCCAATTGGGCCACCCCTCAGCAGACCCCCTAAGACAAAGGATTCCTATAGAACCAGCACCAACATCTATAAACTAACAGACACGTAGACATTTTAACGAGCGGTGTCTCCCTGAATTAAGACGTCGGTCACCTGGCTCGTGACCCTTGCTCGTGATGGAGCGTACGAGTACTCCCTTCCGTCCAAGGTTAAATCTTCCTTTCTAAGTTGTCAGTTAACAGGCGCCAGTGTGTCTACTAGTGAGGGTTAAATCTTTCTCTCTGAGATAAGGAGCGCATGGTCAGGTACCAGGCACTCGGGTCCTCACTGCTTCTCTGTGCTTCTAATGTGTGCAAGACGCTTCGAACACAAGCATTTCGAGGTCAATCAGGGATGCAACAAGATGAAACTTTAAAACATGGCAGCATTGTACTTTCTATTCTAACAGAGAGGCCACAGGGAGGAGGAGGAGGACAATGAAAATGATGTGGAGGAGATGGAGGAAGATGAGAGAGGTTTGTTTTGGGACTTGGTTATGTTATCTATAATAGTTCATTGATTTGAAAAGAGGTGTGATGATGGTATTGTAATGCAGTCATATGGTATTTAACTAATAACTAGTTTAATATGCTGATATTATTGGTTCGCACAGCTGTGTGTGAATTAATTTGGAGCATTAGAAAGTGAGTTATGAGGCTGCACTATTGTTTATGATTCCTGTTACTGTATCAGCACCAGGAGGAGGATGTGCATTATACTGTTTTTTTGTTGTTTGTGTTTGATAGTATTGTAGAAAGGGTTCTGTCAGTCGTCATCTGTACCTGTGGGTAAAAAACAAAAAACAAAAAACAAAACAAAAAAAAAAAAAAAAAAAAAAAAACAAAAAAGGACGTTTCGCTTCTCTCACAGAAGCTTCGTCAGCGGTAGACAACCCTGAAGTCTCCGTGAAGACTCCGGGAAGTTGCTCCCATTGGTTTCTAAACTCCCTATCATTGGGTCTTGATTAGGCCTATTGTTTGGGCTAAGGCTGAATAGCTACTTTCAGTTAGCCTGATCAGCATGTCTATGTCCCTTACTGGTCAACAAGTTATTGTAAATAGGAGACAGGTTAAATCTGATACCTCCTTCACGG